AAATCATTTCTGCTTGTGAAAAGATGCGTACAGGTCTTGGCTATCGAATACTGAAAACCGCAGATCTCTATCTGATTCCTGTCAAAAGTTATTCAGAAAGTACCGACTGCCTTGTATTTTGGAGCGGCTAGTAGCTTCAGTAGATAAAATATAATATATGTTGATTTGATGTAATTTTAATCAACTTTGACTGAGTTTCAGTCTTTCTCTGTTTCTCAATTATTGTGGCTGCTGTTGCATGAAAAAAAAATGAATCAATAATTAAATGTGAAAAATTAGTTTTAATTCAGTGAATAATTTACTTAGCATGAGTTAATTTGAATCAGCATTGGTATAGCCCAAATGCCTCTGGCGATCGCTGCTCTCTCATTAGTTTTTATATTTTTTCCCTTTTAAGTTCCACGCATATTTTGATATTCTGGGATATTCAGTATTGGGTGATAAAGAGAAGACCTCAATTGCACATGATTTAAAAGCAATTGTTAATAATGGTTCATTATTTGATATGTTACCTCCATCACCAAGTAATATTAATAATTCAACACCAACATCACTAGAAGGGACGGTGGAGGTGACAACAACCGAGGCATTTCATGTGTACAAAACCAAACTATTAATAGATAGCTAAAAAGATCTTTTTTCGAATTCCTTAAACTCGAGTTTTTAATTAAAATTTACAAAATTTTATAATTTCAAAAGCCGTATTTTTTAATTAAATAATCCATTTCAAGGAATTTTGAACCAGCAAAGTCTTATCCCATACAAAATGACATTCTGAACAACTTTTGCAGCCACACGTTTTCTCCAAAATGCTTCCTTTTCGAGAAGCTACGGCCAAAGTGTTGTGAAAATATTTTCCATCAACTAAAAAATTAAAGAAAGAAAAGAGAGAAATTTCTTGAATTTTGAATTTTTTGTTAAATTTTCCTAGTTTGTCGGACACTTCGAAGTATATGTTCTGAAGTTTTTTCTGTTTACTGACATTATTGAACTTAGAAAAAAATTAATTACTTAAAAACTATTATTAAATATCTAACTTACTAGACTTACTGAACAGCCAAAAATGAGTTCTAAAAATTTTAAGATTGTCTCTCTTGTAGCCCGTGAAATCCTCTACCAGATGAGGTATTGTTTGAATTTTTTCGCAATGCCCACTGAAAAAAATAATCAAAATTCATGCAGGATCCCACGGGTTATCGGTATTAAAATATCTGGCGATGTTTCTTACCTTTACGCAGGATTTTTATATTGCCAGCCCTGATAGAACCCTGCATTGTTTATGTAGGGTCAGCCTGGAAAAGATCCTGCGTAAAGGTAAGAAACATCGCAAGACTTTTTGACTTATTCAATCCACAAGTGTTTTCCTACGAGATCTGGCAGAGTTTTGTTGGTTGAAAGAAAAAGGATTTTGTTCTCCATGTCTATCCTGCGGTATCCAGCAATCTTTTCTCACCAATGTCCGTCAGGATGACTGTGGTGGAAGTTGTCTGTATTTTATTTTTTTGGAAAGTTAAGTACTTTTTTCTTATAAAGTTATAAAAACTTTTCTCGTGTTCAATAAACTTCTAGAAAACGTGTACCTTAATATTTTGACTTTAACACGCATTTTCATGTGTACAAAACCAAACTATTAATAGATAGCTAAAAAGATCTTTTTTATGTCAGGAATATTCAATTTTTTTCCATTAATAAGACATTAAACGCATTAGAATGATCACGCTACTATGTAATAGCTTTCTCAAAGCTCTTAATCGACATATAATTTAATTCTAAACTAGAAGTAATTTAAGTAATGCTATCTA